TTCTGATCCCCATATGTATCTCGACTCATTGTCGAAATATGTATCCATGTTCTTTAGAGCAACATACTAACAAGTTATAGTTCTCCATTCTTCAGTTACGTAAACATGATGTGGAGCAATGTGACACTGATTTGTCATCAGCTGTTCGTTCTCTCCTGTTATCTATCAATGAGAATGACCTTCATACTTTCAAAGGAGATGCCCAGTGTAGTGGCGGCTGTATCCGGCAGTTACTAGTGAAACACCTAAGGATTTCTGGTTATGATGCTGCGGTCTGCTCGTCTAAATGGCAAGGATTTGACAAAGTGCCTGGAGGTATGCTTATATTCATTACATACAGAGCTCTGTTACGGTTATACTAGTAAATTTGGCGGTAAGACTAGTAAATTTAGCTGGTGAGCTTTTTTTAGGGTTAATTGTAGATAGACTCCCCTGTTCTATCACCAATTGCGGATAGACGCCCTGTAGTTTTATTGTTGCGAGCAATTGCGGGCAGACCCTGTGATTTTTTTTAAACTCATTTACTGTCAGGAGTTTTTTTTGTAAAAAACTCATTTTTCTCTTTCTCTGAGGGTGAAAGAGTCAAAAAGTTCACACGGGTCTATCTACAATGGTAGATCTACATGGGTCTATCCGCAATTGGGCGCTAGTACTGGGGTTTTATCTGCAATTAACACTCTTCTTAAGAGTAAGGGCCTTAGCCCACTTCTATTAGAAAAGAATACAATAGAGCAATATAGGAGTAGATAAGGCTCCAATTACATAATTTGTACAAGTAGACAAGCAATGTAGGAGCAAATTCAGCAAACTTAGCTTTCGTATTATATCTGTTGTCATTGAAAACATTCTATTGAAACTGTTCAGATTTCTTTATTTTCAAATCAATCAAAGGACTGCAATGATTGCACAATCTCATCTTCTTTGTTGACAGTTATGCTAGGGATCCAATACTAAATCTGTTCTAATTTGATTTTCTCGTATTCCCATTTTAGGTGATCATGAATACATTGATGTGATCGTTAATGGCAGTACCGGGGTTTTTGAGCGGTCAATCATTGACATTGATTTCCGAAGTCACTTTGAAATAGCACGAGCAGTCAAAGCTTATGACACAATATTGTCCTCTCTACCAGTGATCTATGTAGGCTCCCTTGCCAACCTCGAGCAGTTCTTGCAAATTATGGTTGATGCTGCAAAGTATTCTCTTAGGCAACACTCCATGCCTTTGCCTCCTTGGAGATCATTGAGATATCTGCAGGCAAAATGGCAAGCTAAATATGAAAGAAAACACAATATAGAGAGGAGCGAAAGCAAGTGCAGTGTTTTTTCTGATCATAAGCAATGCGTTGGACACCTGAGGAGGTTGAAATCATCGCTTCAGTTAGAGATCGAGTCTGAGAGGCGGCTGNCTGCTGAAGCCGATAACTAATGACAAGAAGCGAATGGGGAAGTCAGAGAGACGGAGGTATTCGAGTTATTTGAATAATTAAATTCATATATTCACAATTCAATTTTGAATAGTATATTTCTTTTAAGTATGAATTCAGTGAGAACCGATCCACAAAAGGCTGAGATGGAGGGTCCTCTAATATGAAGAATAGCAATAACCTGCCATTTTTCCGAGGCGGGGAAATCATCATAGTGTTTTACCTTTGATTCTTTGGTTTGCTGAAAACCACTAAAAATTATATAGAGAGATTTTGTTGTATTGTTGGATTGTACACGGCCTTAAATACATTTCAGTGCCTTTTCTTGTTACTTTTGTTCATTCAAGATAAAATAATTTTTTTGTTGTTGTGAGAACATTTTCATCATGGAGTGTTACATTGTCAACAGTACAAAAGCCATGAGTAGGAAACTTCTTGTTCAACAACCTTGGCAATTTCTTCTCTGCTTCTTCTATTGTTAGTTTTCAAAGTTCTGAAAGCGTGTGGAAACAATTGCTTTATTTTCACAAGTTATCCATGGACTGTTCACAGTTTTATCTTGACTGCGTGGTGCTGACCTTGTACCCGTCCAAGTGTATTCAGATTTGAGTTGTTAAAGTTCTCTTCTGCTAGCTAACTTGTAAATTTGACTTGTTAAAGCAGTATTTTGCCAGTCAATTTGTTAAGAGTTAATTGAGCAGGTTGGTGTAGGGTTGGGTGCGGGCCGGTCAACACGCGGGCAGACCTGGCCCAGCCCGCCATGGATCATGACCCGGCTCGACCCGTAGTGGGCTAGGCTCAACTCGGCCCGTGATATACCCTGGTCATGGGTCAGGTTGTGTCCAGCTCCAAACCCGGGACTAGAGAAATATGCCCGACTCACCTTAACCTGGCCCAACATCGACCTAATCCGACCCAGCATGACCCGACCCCGAATTTTAATTATTATAATCTAGTTTTTAGCTAACATTTTTTCCCTCTTGTATTTGTAATTTAAATTTAAACTAAAAGAATATTATTAATATTATGTAGACGTAGGTCGTTCTTTCAAGTCTGAACCATGTATATCTTTGTATTTGCGATGTTTTTCTATGTGATGTTTATCTTTGTGCAATGTGTGTGTGTATATCATTTTAAATAAAGAGTAAAATAGAAAAAATAATTTAAAAATAATTTAATGATATTAATACAAAGTTAATATAGTTTAGAAATTAAAAATAAAAAAGTAGAAAAAGTTAAAAAAAAAATCCATGGGTGTCTAATCCTAGATCCGAGATCAAAGAAATAGGCCCGACTCATTCTGCCTTGCGCAGGCCCGGATTGGACCCGGCCCAGTCTTGAACCCAACGGGCCAAGTCACGAGTCTAAATTGGCTCGTCTCACGCCCTCCCCTAGGTTGGTAAAAAAAAACAGCCTTTAAAATTTGGTTATTTTATGTAGATCAAATTTTTTTATTTTTAATTTATATATAAATCATGTTTAAAGAGTATTTTGTTGTTATAACCTCGTGAGTCCACTTCTTAGTTAATTTTATTTGATAATTGACCCACTTGACTTTCATTAAAGATCATCTCTCTAATATACTTTGATATTTGACAACTAATTACTACAACAGAACTGGGAGAAACTTGGCTTAGAAGTGAGTTCACGTGGTTGATTGCAACAAAAAGCCATTTAAAGATGATTTATGTAAAAATTAAAAATTGAAGGTGGTTTTTGTAGAATAATCATATTTTGACTGTAAACTGTTCTATACTGGGTGCATATGATTATAGAGACGATTTTGGGGGAAAACCATCAAAAAGCTGACAAATTGGCAGCTTTCCCTCTCCTTTCCTCTTCAAAATACCTGATCCAAACAGCCCCTAAATATGTCCACCGTTATTTGCTGTCTGCCTTTTTTTAGGGGCTGTTTGGTTCGCTTAAAAGGCTGGTGGAAACGGGTTTCTGCGTCTGACACCTTCTCCATGTCGGATTTTTTGTTTCCACTCGTTTCTTTTCATTGCTTTGGTTCGCTATGGTTGAAGAGGGAAATCGTCGCTGAAAATTCTGCCACCTAGGATTTTTTTCTCTCCCCGATTTCCTTCCCCAACCGAGTGAAATCGACGAAACCGCTGGCCAACTCGGATTTTTTCTCCCTCGTTGATTTCTTTGGTGACGCTAGGGTTACCTCCTTCCTCTCCTCCCGCCAGAAATCTCCCGCGGCTGGGTTTCGTGCTTGATTTTCATCTTTCGCCTGGGATTTCGTGCTTACTTTTCATATTTATCAAAATTGAACCAAGTACCGGTCTCAATCCCTGAATCCTTCGCCCTGAACGAGAGAGGATGGGGGAAGAACCAAGCGTACAAAGCGATGCAGAGGTCGAGGCTAGGCTCGGCCGCCGGCGGGCCTGACTCGGCCGCCGGTGGGCCTGAGGGGATCGAGGACAGAATGGTTCGTACCTTTTCATACCATCATCTATTTGTTCTTCTAGGGTTTTGAAGTCTCTAGATTGTTTGTCAATTTCGTGTTTTTTAGTAGATAGAACCCTGTGAATCTGATAAAGCCATTAATTTCAAGCTCATTTTATGCAATTAATTAACTAATCACTTTTGAGATTATTCTTGAATTAGCACCAAATTTAGCACAAATTTTAGTTAATTGAAATATGGTGAATACTTGATAGTTGTCATAGACTACGCTTTTTAGCTATTTTCTTCGGCCATACATTGGTAGATTTTGCTTGTAGTTTCACAGCCAAAGCATAAGTAATGAAATTACTGCTTCCAGGAAATAATTTGAGATGTTTGGAGATTATAGAAGGTATGGAAGGAGTAGGAGCACTTAGAGCAGCTTGCAAAATTTTCAATTTCTAATTAATTGAATAGCAAGGCTCATGCAAATAATTACTGTGAAATGCACTTAGGCAAATTGATCTTTCTGATTTATTTCTTTATATAGGAGTATAGTTTCTTGGCTAACATATCTTCATTACCAAATGAATTGTGGATTCTATGGACTTAAGGATACAATAAATAAGCAGGAAACTCTCTCTCTCCTTTTGTCAACTTTAAGCTGTTTGAGAATCTCATTTTTCTTTATATTTGTAAAGGAATACAGTTGTTTAGTTCTTTATATTTGTTCTCTCTGCATTTTGGTATGCAATACTTTTATTTTTGTTGAATTTTTACTAACGAGGACTGTCACAGACGGATGGTTCATTTCATTCACCAGAGTGGCATGTTGTTTTTATGTTGTCTTAGATTTTATACATGCAACTTATTTCAATCTTTCACTAGGTAGGTTGGGTAATGTCAAATTGTCAAAGAATGCGATGTACCCATAACTTGCATTACTACGTCCTCTAGTGGCACTTGTAAATATATAAGTAAAGTGTTATTGATCTATTTATTACTTTACAATTACTATGCCGAAGGACTACTTGATACGAGAAGTGAATGTGATGTCTAGATGAGTTTCATGCTACTCGGAAAATTCAAGTCTTGAATACACTGATATTGTCATCTTGTTCACATTCATATAAATAATCCTGTTTTTGTAATCTCAGTATGCTAAAGTGGATCTTTCATAATTGTGATTCCGTCTTATTTGTGTCTTAAAGATGAATGCAATTCTTTATAGCAAAACTCTTACTAGTTTTCATCTTTATCTCGATCTTTTCTAGGAGAAAGAGTTTTGACCTTCTTAATTTGCATGGTTTTGAACTGTATGACCAAATAAACGGTAGGTCTTTGTACTTGCCAAGTGCCATTAAGCATTACTTGATCCTTTATAGGGCACGTAACTAACCATAGCATTGAACTGTGTGGGAAATATTGTTTTCCTGGTGGAGTTTATCTTCGCTTTTAATACTTCATAATTAACACATTTAGATGGAAAGAGGTTTGAATGTCAATAAACGCATATGAAGATCACAACTTGTACATATAGTGGTTAAAGAAACATCCACAATGATGTTACGTGAGTTTTTTGATCCTTTCTTCATGAGTTACTTGTAACTTCTTGAAGATACAAAATAAGTGCACTGTCTATTCCCTACGCAGAAAAAGCAACAACACATGCCCATATGCTTGTTTTCAGGCCAGGCTAGCATGGGTCTGGTTTTACTTGCACAACAGAAGATCTATGCAAGTTTTCTGTTAATTTCATAACTTATCATCGAGCTCCCGTGGCTGTTTTTTGGTTGTTATTTGTGCTCGTCGTCGAGCTCCCGTGGCTATGTTGTTGGTTGGATGGTTGGTTGGTTGATGTTGTTGGTTGGCCTGGTTGTGAGCCTGGTTCTGTTTTGTGCAGCCTCCTTTGTGTTCAGGTTTTCTAAGGTGTCCGTGCTCAGTTTTGTGTTCGTGAGATTTGTTTTCAGGCACTGTTTTTTTGGGTTGTAAGTTTTCATGAAACAATTCTACATTGGTGACTATTTACTTTTAGGCTATGATGATTTTCATTAGATCTGAGATTAGCAACCTGCAATATCTACTGATATTGTACTGGATGGCTAACAATGATGATATTGACCAAATTCTGAGCCCTCATCCATAACCAGTAAACAACTCTTGATTACTTGATGTTTTCCTGATTGGTTCTTGATGTTGTTGGTGTGCATATGCTTTGTGACCATTACTATCTGTTTGCGTTCAGTTTGGTGTGCATATGCTGTTTTTCTGAATTTTTTCTGCTCAGTTTTTTATGGGCACATATTGCCTCTATATGTTGGTTGGCTGGTGGTGTTTTTGCCTGGTTGGTTGGCTGGTTGTGAGTCTGGTTGTGAGCCTGAAAAGGCACATGTTATTACAATTTCACTCCTGGTCGGCACATGTTATTGGTTGGCTGGTTGTGTTGTTTGTTGGTTGGTTGGTTGTGAGCTTGGTTGTGGGCACATGTTAGTGTTGTTTGTTGGTTTTGATACCATCAGAGGTTCTTGAATGCCCTGATTACTTGATGTTGTTTGTTGGTTCTTGATGTTGTTGGTGTGCATATGCTTTGTGACCATTACTATCTGTTTGCGTTCAGTTTGGTGTGCATATGCTGTTTTTCTGGATTTTTTCCTGCTCAGTTTTTTGTGGGCACATGTTAGTGTTGTTTGTTGTTTTTGATATCATCAGAGGTTCTTGAATGCCCTGCAACAGCTCGGTGTATCTCACGGTGAGTTTTAATGGATGCAAATATTTTTTGTTGGTTTTGATGTTAGTGTTGTTTGTTATTGTATCTGATGGTTTTTGGTGTGGCTTGATGAATATTTGCAGTTGGGATGCCGAAGCAGATCAGGGAGCTGATGAAGGTTGATGGACTCACCAATGATGAAGTGAAGAGCCATTTGCAGGTGATTCTTGCTTCCTTTTTTATAGATTTTTATGACTTGAGACTTAAATACAAATGGAAATATATGTAAGTTTATATTGTGATATTTCAAGGATTTTCATAAACTTGTTGTTATCAGAAATTGCATCCAATTGGTCCAATTTCTTTTTTCATATTGTGATATATATATATATATATATATATATGCGTATGTATACAGACTTCTCTGAGTGTGAGAACAACAGTTAGCCTGTGTCTTCATGTTGTTTAGTAAAATCCATACATTAAAAGTTCATGTATGTGTTTGCACTGGTTGTGTTGTGGAGACTGGTTGCGCTGTGGAGCCTGGTTGTGTTGTGCTTTTGTTCTCGGCCAGTTTTTGTGTTGTGTTGTGGAGCCTGGTTGTGTTGTGCTTTTGTTCTCGGCCAGTTTTTGTGTTGTGTTGTGGAGCCTGGTTGTGTTGTGGAGACCGGTTGTGTTGTGCTTTTGTTCTCGGCCAGTTTTTATGCATATATTGTTGATGTTATACCATGTTTGGTTATGTTCAGTTTGTGACCACATCAGTTTTGTCATTATCGGCGGGTACTATTCTTATTTGTTCAAAACAATCCACATGAGCATGACCATTTGTTCAGGTTGATGGACTCAACAGATTTTCTGATGCTATGCTTTGTTCATGTTAAATTTGAACTTTTATATGATTAAGATTACCTCATATAACGAGCACAAATAAATTTGTATATAATGGGGGTAATCTTATCATGGTGACCATAAACATTTTTTCCTACAAACTTCAAAACCCAACCAAACACAAGAAAAGTGGGAAATGTCAAACCAACAAAAGTTTTCCTTTTTTTCTATGCGAACCAAACACAAGAAAAGTAAATACATTGGTTTCCCACAATTTTTTATGTGCGAACCAAACCGAAACAATCTATTTCTTAGAAAAGTTTGGAAAACTCGAAACTTATGTTTTTTTACATGGAATTGCATTTCCCTATATCTAGAAAACGAACCAAACAGCCTTACAGAAAAATAGCTTTCTTAGAAAATGAGGGGTGTTTTCGTTCCCGGGTCTCACTCCTACATCTCCGCCACCTATATTCAGATCTCATCGTTTTTGTGAGCCACGGATTGAAGGGGGTGAAAAAACACTCACACACGCACACACACAAATTCTCTCCTCAAATGCAAAACAAACAGGAAGTGCTACGGATTCTTTAGTGCTTGGGTTGAAGACTGATACGATCTGCTTGAATTATTATTATTTTAACTACCGTGAAGGCAGAGTCCAAACCGAAGGAAGAAGATAGCTAGCATGGCTTCGTAGCAATTGGGCACCTCCATGCTTACGAATTTTTTTTATACTGCCTTGAATTCAGCTAAGGATTTTTGTGGGAGGTGAAAAAGAAGGAAGATGATAGGGGCACACCCCTAACCATAATCTCAACCACACCCCCTCTCTTATTTGTTACAGTGCACTCGGCCCCACATGAGATTTTAAAATTTAAAATCCTATGTGAGGCCTGGTGCACTGTAACAAATGAGAGAGAGGGTGTGGTTGAGGTTGTGATTGGGGGTGTGCCCCTAGTGCCACCCGAAAAAGAATTTCTTGAAGTACTTGTAGGGGTACATAGTGTTGTACTTGCATTGATTTTACCTTTTTTGAAAACCCTAGTATATAGAGGAGTCCGTTATACATAGACACAATAATATGCAAAATTTATACAATTGTAATTTGACAGAAATTCTATTTTTTTCTTTTTTTCCTTTTAGTTTTCACCAATCATGTACATATTAAATCATATCAACATAAATTACATTTTTTCAAGTCATAAAGATAATCCAAGTGATTGCAACTAAGAGGATGTTTGTTTCACGTATAAAATCATGCATGGAGAGGCTTGGAAAACTACTGGCAATGTCAAAAAATGAAATTTCTTTTTCCACGAGATTCCATTTCTTGTATTTGTTTCACTACTATGTTTTAAGAAAAGTTTTCTTAAAAGGTGGGGGGATGTACTTTTTGGCTGGAAACCAAATCCACCAAATTTGAGAGGAAATGAGTATGAAAGGGATGAAAAGAGTGCAAAATGATAATTAAATAAAAAGATTAATAGGAGGGGTACGTTTTAAAACAAAATAATAATTAAATATTTGGGTAGAAACCATTTTTGCCTATTGAAACAAACAAGAGAATGATATAGAAAATATTTCCTCCCCATGTTTTCATGCCAAAACAAACAAAAAAAGTTGCTTCTTAGAAATACATGGAAAGAAGCGGAAATAGATTTTTTTACTACTAGAAAGTGTTTCCTATTTTTTTTGAAAATGAAACAAACACCCCTAAAGAGAAGCGAAACGAAAACACTTTTGATCTTATGAAATTTTGATATAAATTAAGATGGAAATGGATCGAGCAAAGAGGATTCTTAGTTGCAGTATGCCCGTCAACTTTTTTTTATTCCCTAGATCCCTAAACTTTATGATTTATTGCACAGAACCCCCCTATACTTATTTACTTCACTAAATCTTGCTTAAAAAATTATCTTCTAATCCACATATTAGCACCATCGAACTCTAACGTATCATGGGGTAAGCACGGGGTAAGCACATGACAAAAAAGATAAAAATTTTCTTCTTAGTCCCGGGAGAACTCCTTTAAAAAAAAGAAAATTAAGTAATTTTTTAGAATTAAGGGACTATTTTTCATTTTTTGGCACCACTGAGATGTTAGAAATGATGATGTTAATGTAAGATTAAACTAAAAAATTTACTATAAAATTATTGAAATAAATAAGTTCATGGGGGTGGGGTATATGCAATAAACCCTAATTTCAGGGGATTTAGTGGGGAAATTTTTTGAGGGGGATTTTACTTCTACTCCCCAAAAGTTCAAGAGGGTTCTCTGTAATTAACCTCTTTTAATTTGAACAATTAATTTTCCACTAAAATCTTATCATTACAATTTTAAAATATTTATTTATCTATCCCTCGTTTTTATATCCCTAAGGCCTTAATTTTAAAATTTATTGTTTATAAAGTTTAAAACACTTATTGATGAGTTTATCCGTATATGGCCCAAATCTATTATTCTATGTGCATATTTACCATTCATATTTATATTTACCATTGTAGTCTTCATATTTGCTAATTTACACCTACTTATATATTTCCACATTGGTTTTTTACATTTCATTAGCACGCCGAAATTACTAGAGGTAAATTAGATAATATGCAAATTTAGGGGCAACCTTGCAAATAATATAAATTTGGAGGATATATACGCAAAAGTAATTTTTTTTAAAGGAAATAGAGGTATATTCTATCCTTTCATCTCTCCGCAGATTGAAATTTAACATTGTTAATGAGAGGTATTTTAACTTAAGAGTGTTAAGTAAATTAGTAGATATTTAATTAGATCCGGAGGTAAACTTGTAAATAAGATAGATTTGAGGTGTATATAGACAAAGTAACCCTCTGTTTATATGTTTCCCCTCATTTCCCCCAGCTTTTCTGTACTCTGCTAGATTTAAGCCCAGGAGACGTACAAACTGTTTTCCAAAATTTAACAATCTTATTTCTTAAATGAGTGTATCCTTATTATATATAAAAAAAGACTGGTTAAGCACCTTCTCTGGCTGCATTAGATTTTCCAATGAACAAATGATTGCAAACAAAAAAATAGTTCTTGGCAATATGGGACTTTGGTCAAGTTTGAAATCTTAGTACAAATTATATTCTCATTCATATATAAAAAAGTGGATGTCAACACTGTAAATATAATGCAAATACACTGAACACAAACCAAGACTAAGAATGCTCTTAACAGTACTGTAAAAAAAAAAAAACATTACAGATTCACAAACATAACATGAGGATCCATAACTCTCATAAAGAACTGAAACTCCGAAACCCTTGCATGAAAAAAACAACAAACAAAAGAGCTGACAGATACTGAAAAGCTCGAAAACTACAAGATAAAACGTTAAACTGAAACACAAACAAAAGCACAAACTTTCACTTAAAAAGCTCATGAGGAGACCACATTACATTAGTTACATCGAAACAGGAAGATATCGCGTTAGAACTCACAACTCTCAGCCAACAAGTTAACCATCCAACACCTACAAACAACGCGCGCAATCTGATACACCAACGTCCAAGAATAGTGATTTAAGGAAAAATCATATCGAAATACCTCATCAATGCCCATTTCATATCTGAATATGGCCTCTGATGCTCGTACCCGCGCATTTGCTCAATCTCCTCCATCTTCTCCCTCCTCCTGCTGGCTTCATCCGATTCAAGGTGCAGCTCTGCTCTCTTTGGCCTCCATGAACGCTCTTTCCTATGCGCCGCCAGTGGCTGATGCCCAAGGCATGATGAATTATTCAGCCATGCATGATGCCGATAAAACAACAAAAACATTTCTCAAACTCAGAGGTTGCGTTTGTCTTTCAATTACATCTATTCAGCCCTGTTACGGACCACTTCATTGGTTAAATTAACAGCAATATATCCTCTTTTTTTTTGAAAAAATTAGTCCTTATTGCTTCACTAAATAAGAGCCTATCACTCCTACTGCATTGACTAAAATCAATCTTGTGACTCTATCCAGCTACTAATCCAATAGTTTCAGTCAAATTTCCGTCAGTTTAGATATCCGTTATAAAAACTATAATTCACAAATGACCAAACGAAAAAAGAAGAAGAAAAGAACAGAGAGAGAGAGAGAGGGAGGGAGGGAGGGAACTAGTTACAGATTGCTTCAACTATTTTCTACCAATTCTCACTCAATCATCAATGGAGCTATTTCCAACTTCATATGCACACACTTTTTCACTCCTGTTTCTTATTGAGTGCACTTATATGTCTATTTTTTTTTTGTGTGTGGCATACATATGCATCTCTAAATTGCCAAAAAAAAAAAAAAAAAAGAACCAATGTAACTTGTTAACTTTGTGATTAATTTTTCTGTAACCAAATACTTCTACAAATCATTCATTCATGCTTCACTTTTTTATGTTCATACGTTTTTCCTTGTGTACTTTATTAACACTCTTCTCTTCATCAAGTTAGTAGATGTATTTCTAAACTAGGA